GGCTTTCTACGCAGCCAATACAACGTTGACGCCAAAAAATTTAAAATGCCTTTTTTTTTTTTTTGTAACCGATGAATTAAAAGAAAAGAACGAAGGAAATTTGTAGATCCAGATTCAGAATCCTTCCAATCCTAGTTGAGCTCCCTTCCACGTCATCGATCCTCGTAATCTCCTATGAGATAAACCACAGCCGTTTGATAAAAACCGAAAGTTAGCCATCCCCAGCCGTTGGATTATTTCTCCTACCCTCTTCCTCTCCTTCTATCCCAAAGCCTTTCCCTTTTAAATCCAACCCTTCTCCTTTCCCACCATCTTCACAACAACAACAACAGTTTCCTTCCTTCTCTCTATTTCTTTCGCTGTCAGAGTCAGACAGAAGATAAAAGAGTTTCAAGTTTTAATGGCGACTGAAGAAACTAATAATACACAGGGCCTTCCTCAACAATCTTCTCTTCCAGACTACCCTCAGGTAGTTGAATTTTGTCCTAATGTTTTGTTGGGTTCTTTGGTCATTTCATGTGTGCTTAATTTTCTTTCTGATTTTACTGTGTAGATGATTTTGGAAGCGATAGAGGCATTGAACGAGAAAGCGGGGTCGAATAAGTCAGCAATCGCGAAGCACATCGAGTCGACTCACTCAGATCTCCCAGCGGCTCAGTCCACTCTGCTTTCCCACCACCTCAACAAGATGAAACAAAGCGGTCAAATTGTTATGTTGAAGAACAATTACTCGAAACCCGACCCCAATGCTCCACCCAAGCGTGGACGAGGGCGTCCACCTAAACCCAAGGTTCCTCTTCCACCTGGTACCGTCGTCTCCCCACCTAGGCCTCGTGGTCGTCCGCCTAAGCCCAAAGATCCATTTGCTCCACCTAAGCCTAAAACCTCCATCGGTACTGGAAGGCCACGTGGACGCCCCCCTAAGAAGGCAAAGACTGGTTCCATCACTGCTCCTTCACCTACCGGCGTTAAGCGAGGTCGAGGTCGGCCGCCGAAAGTGTAACCGTCGGTGGGTTTTCAACTATAGTGAAGCTTAAACAAAGAGAGAAAAAGAGGGAGTTAGCTAGGTTTTTTTTTTTTTTTCCCCTTTTTAACTTTAATTTTTAGGCGTTGTTTTAATTCTCTACTAATCGATGTTTTAGCTTTTTAATTTCAATTTTAATTATTTTTGGGGGAAAGTGTTGTAATGTTATTAGTGGAGGGGATTTAGATTTTAGTGCGACTCTCTGTAATTTGCATGTAAATTTGTTGAATTATGTAGTCATTTTCACCTACCACATCTCTCAGTGCTTTTGCTTTTTTCCTCTGGAAAGAAAATACTACTTCTATTATCAATATTTTGCTTGTTACCTTTTGTGAATTGTTTTAATGATGATGAATAATTTGAACTAAGGTAATTTAAAGGAGTTTATATTTAAGATATTATCAAAATATGTTAATTTATTAATTAGTAAATATTAATTTTTAAAATAAATATATAAAAATTTATATTTAAAAAATTATTTGTTAATTAAATGTTATTATTTGTTTTATTTTATTATTAAGATATATTATTTAATTTATTAATAATATATAAAATTTATATATCGATAATATATGATTTTTTTTTCTTTCTTTTGATTTAATGAGTTGTGAAGAAACTTTACAGATAATATTGTGTAAAAATATGTGACAACATGTTTCCTTTTTGGGAGCACGCTTGAAATTTGGTTATGAGAATCATCATAATTTAAAAGATGAAAAAAAAGGGAAGGAATATTTTGTGAATTTTTATTTGGTGAATTGGTTGTTTTGCACATGGGAGCCAAAGGCAAAGCAATGAAAAAGTACTAAAAAATTTGAAAATAATTTGGGCGGGTTTACGTTTTTTTTTTTTAATTTATTTTTTCAAGGGGTATTTGAAATAGTGTTTTTGTACCCAATTTGCAGAATTTTCCTTCATAATTTGTGCAAGCAACAGTAGCTGACAAAAGTTTGTCAGTTGGACTTTGCTTCTTCCTTTGTTTTCTTTGGTTGGACTCCACTCAATTTAGAACAAGATATTTTTATTTTTATACAAGGGAGGATAGAGTATAAAAATTAGCAAAATCATTTTGTTTTGTTCTCACCTAAGTAAAGAGGCAATTATTTTAATAAAGTAGGGAAAAGAACCGAAATACCTTTCTCCATCTTTAAGCAAAGTCAAAGTGTTGCCTCAAATTAATATTTGGATTGCTATATAAAAAAAAAAATTTTAACTTTGAGAAAGAAGAATTATTTTATAAAATGGTTACTCACTCACTCTATATATGTAAATACATAATTTGATTCAGGTTCGGATTAATTAGATCTGATTCAAATGAATAAGTCTATTTGTATTTTTATTTATTTATTTATAAATATATTTTTTAAAATATATTTTATTATTATTATTATTATTTATCAATTAATATATATATTTATTTATTAATATATATTTTCTATTATTATTATTTTTATTTTTTAACTTTACTTTTTCTTGATGAATTTTCAGTTGAGATTAGGATAAAAAAATTGAAGTGTATTTTACCGTGAATTTGGGGGTTGACAGAGGTGTGATTGGATTCAAAGATTGAATCTAAATCCCAAAGGAAATTAGGATTAATCAGAAACTTTTCTGATCAATTTCTATAAATAAGTGTTGAAACATAACCCACATGGCACAAAAAAACACAACAGAGAAAGGAAACAGAAGCAAAATTGTGTTTAGAATTAAAAAAATTTTTTTTTGAATTTTTTAGAGTTTTTTTCTAAAAAATTTTAGAAATTTTCAGAATTCGATGAAATTTTTAGGTGAACTTTGAATTTTTCAACAATTTTTCGACTAACTTTAAAGTTTTTGATTTTTTTTTTCAGATTTCGATAAAACATTCAATCAGAATATGAGATTGTTTAGAAAGAAATAGGAGAAAATAAGGGAAAAGAGAGGAAAGAAAAAGGGAAATCTGAAGAAAAATCAAGTTTCAGCCTTATATATCCTCCTCAAAATGACGTCATTTTTACGTTAGTAAACTCACAGGATCTGTGTGTTTGCCAAGATCCGACCCGACCCGTAGCACATCCGATCCAGTGACTCGCTTCTCCCCTTAGGTTCAAGCCGAGCCAAGCGTTTTCCTGTTGAGCCGCCGCATCCAAGCTGTCGTTCTTCTTGGAGCTGAGCCGTATTAAGCCGAATCGAGTCGTTGCAAAGGTTTTTTTTTCTTATTTATTTATTTATTATTATTATTATTATTTATTGATTAGATTAGAATAATTTGATATTTTTTTATTTTATTTTTATTTTTATTTTATTTTTTAATGATTTTTCTTAAAATAAATTTTAAAAAAAATATTTTGAGTAAAAGTTAAAGCATCAATTTTCTTTGAAAATAAGTTTTTTAAAAATATTTTCGAGAAAAAGTTGAAAGTATCAATTTTTCTTGAAAATAAATTTTAAAAAAATATTTTTGAGAAAAAAGTAAAAGTATCAATTTTCATTGAAAATAAAATTTTTAAAAAATATTTTTGAGGAAAAGTTGAAAGTATCAATTTTTCTCGAAATTAAAGTTTAAGAAAAATATTTTGGGGAAAAGTTAGAAGTACCAATTTTTCTTAAAAAAAAAAACGTTTTAAGGAAAAGTTGAAAGTATCAATTTTTTCTGTACAAAGCAATGAGTTTTTGAAGAGAAAATTATTTATATTTAAAGCTGAATCATTATTCTTTTTTTTTTCATTTTATTTCTTTTCTTTTTTGAATTTTCTTTAATGTTAAATAATCTGACGATAGAGCCTCTGCAAGTGAAACAATAGTTTTCTTGCATACTCTTGAGGTGAGAGAATTTTTTTAATTTTTTACTAAAAGTGTTAGAGTCAATTGAGAATAATTTTCAATAATTAATTACTTGGTAAACTTTTAAGGCTTATTGCATAACACAAAATTAAGCTAGTACCATCTTTCGATGGGCGTTGTGAGGGTGCTATAATCTTTCTCACACTTAACCGTGCTTTCAAACCCTATTCTGGTTAGTAAACCTGAATCTATTCTTTTAGGGACCCTTAAGCTTAGGTGTTCCTTAAAAAGATAAATTCTTTAGGTAGTCAATCGCATCTAGATAAAAAAGATTGGTAGCGACTTCTAAAGATAATGTCTAGTGATGGATCTCCAGATCTAGACGTTATAACAATTTGGTGACTCAGTTGGAAAAAGTCGAGAGTCAGGTCAGTAAATAAATTTGTATTATCCAAAAGCCTAATAAAATTGAACCTTTTGTATAGATTTTTTTATTCATTCATTTTTATTTACTTTGTTAATTATGTCATTCATATGCATGTGCATAACATAAGTTCTATATCCGAGGCTCCGTTCCTCTAGGAGAAAATTAAAGTACCTATGCTTTTGTGAGGTTTAATGCCTCCGTAGTGGCTAGCGAAATAATCTCACTCAAATTGAACTTTTTTCGCTTATAGCCTGTAATAAGTGAGGATTGGGGTGCCTTACTAGTCTGTAATGGACAATGATGTAAGGAACAATTTGGGAACCTTTAGACTTTAACCTCAAACCACATATAGTGAACCTTAAGAGTGCCTAACCTATAGATAGAGCCATTTTTCTTCCCTTTTAGAATTGATCAAAAGCATAGGGTTCATTATTCTTATTCTGTGTGATGTTTTAATTTACTTAGTTGTTTATTTATTCCTTATTATTTGGTATACTAACCTCTTTTCTTATTCATGTTTGCATGATCCATACTCATATCATAAAGTTGCATAAAGAACATTTGCTTGAAAGATAATCTTTAACAAAAGGTTTTTTATGGACTCCACAGAACGATTAGTTTGCTCTTCATCAATACTAGCTCTTTGTGAGTCACCCAACAAAATAAAGGTCCAGTAAAAAAAGATTCAACTAAAGATGAGGGATTGTTTACCAATCAGTTATGATTTTACCTTATCTCAAGAAACATTTATCCTCCTCAAATAAAATAATCTAGAAGATTTGTTTGATATATGGAAGAAAATGAATTCGTCAAGATAAGAGCGATTTTGCTAGAGACATGGACATATAGCACACCTTCTTACAGTAAATATCGACAATCAACTAGTTAGAGCTACAATGTAATTTTAAAATCCTACATACAAGTGTTTCATCTTCAATGAAGTGGATCTGACACCAACTATCAAAAAATATTCGACCTTGTTGGGCTTACAACTCAAGGCTCCTGACAAGATATATGTTAAAAAATACAAGTCAAGATTTCATAAGGATTTGGCCCATCTCATGGGGATAGACAAGGAGATTATGGATTCTCACATAAAGAAAAAACAAGAATAGGTTTGCCTACCTTGAAAATTTTTTTATGATTTTTTAGTGCAACATGCCGACGAGGAACGATGATTAGATGTATTTACCTTAGCCATATACGGAATGATGATATTTTCAAAGGTTTTGGGTCATATTAAAATAACAGTGGTTAACTTTTTTGAAAGTGTGATCAACGGCTGTAACCCTTTAACAGTAATATTAGTAGAGACTGTTAGATCTTTAAGTCACTGTTGTTGAAAGAGAAGGCATTTTATAGGTTGTATACAGTTATTGTTCGTATGGATGAAAAACCATTTTGAGTGAAAAAATGTTCTTTATCGAAGTTTTATGTCCGCAATCGAGCTCCGATCAAAGAATTTTATGAAAGTGGGTGGTCAGAATAAAAGTAAAAAAAAAGAGTGGATAGCTTTTTTACAAGAACTGATAAGTGCCAAGGTAAGATGGTTGGTCGCATGGATCAATCGTGAGCCTATATTATATCAGTGTGAAGAAACACTGTGGTCCCACTTCTGGATTTATGAGGAGTAACAAGTTATGAACCACTTCTAGCAAGAAGGCAATTTGGGGTAAAATAGTTCATTCCCATGACACATAGGCTTTATCAATTAAATTTTTCTTACAGCGAGCCTAAAGCATTTCAGAGGATGAATAAGGTGATTAAAGCATGAAAAAATCCTCGTAGAGTGAATCCTGGATCATCACTGATAAAATCACTCTAGGGTATTTACTTTGGAGAGCAAGATGAAGACAAAAAATGGTATTCACTTATGAAAACTTTCAATCGTC